TATCAAAAAGTATGAAATGTTAAGTAATTTTAACCTATATTTTTCATTTATTGACTTTTTCTTGCTTGATTATAATCATATCTACAATACAGCAGGCTTATTTGAGCTCTCTAGACAACTGCTATCAAAACCAAAATGTAATCACCTCCAGGAAACACTGAGGATCACACTCATGGACAAGCTTTTCACAATCCTTCAAAAAATTCTCAATGGTCTTCTTGTGAGTTTCTTTCATCTTCTTCCAAATCTGAAATTCTTTCTCTTTTTTACCTCTTTGATTTTCAACATCTTCTAGTAATTGCTGTTTTTTCGCTTCTAGAGTTTTGAGAATTTCTCCAAATTTCAGCTCAATTATCTCCACCTCATTTTTCAGCATCACCTAGAAGCATGAGAACACAAGACCAGATGTAAATGCAATTACAATGTCCAAACAGAGTCACTTCTCTAAGTAAGCTCAGAGCACATCTATGCCACAAGGAGCACCTGTATGCTCCAGGTTGTGAATAAACTCTCACTGGAAGAGACTAAAAGACATACACACAGAATATCCAGCATTTGTAACTCACATCTGCATCATTCGGTCGTTTTGAGATCTCATTCACCAGCTTCTCATTTATCATCCTCATTTGTTTCAGAGTGCTAAAGAAGGTTAACTGCAAGACAATTGAAACACTTAATTACAACTTTATCCATTCAATAAAAAAAAAATAAAAAATTCCAGTGCTTATCTAGAATCAGTTCAAGACAAACAAGGAGCTATTGGAGAGGGTTCAGTGGATGACCACAAGGATGATCAGGGGCTTGGAGCATCTCTTTTATGAGGAGAGACAGCAGGAGCTGGGCCTGGTTAGTCTGAAGAAGATTGAAAGAAGATCTCATTGACGTATATAAATATCTCAAAAGCAAGTGCCAAAAGGAGGGTGCCAGGCCCTTTTTAGCCTGAAAAGACAGGAACAGTGGCCATAAACTAAACCACAATAAGTTTCACCTCAGCATGAGGAAGAACTTTTTCACATTGAGGGTGGAGGACCACTGCAACAGGCTGCTTAAGGAGGCTGTGGAATCTCCCTCTCCAGAGACATTCAAACCCCACCTCGTCACAATTCTGTGTCACCTGCTCCAGGTGACCTTGCCTTGCCAGGAGTCTGGACTGGATGATCTCCAGAGGTTCCTTCCAACCCTATCAGTTCTATATTCTGAACAATATAGTAAAAAAGCCTGTGATTCAAAACATCACTTAAGGCTTTCCTGGATCAGTACACAAACTTTCTTCTCCTGTTTCTCAAAGCAATGTTCTTAGGCTCACCTACAATGCATACTGATAGAATGACTACTTTATAGTTAAAACATTGTTTTCCTCAGGCTTTTTTAACCCCTCCCCTCACAAACATCTATCACAATGTAAGTTTTAATGGTGTTATTCCAGTTTGGCAAAAAGCTGTGTGATACTTTTTCTTTTTATGCCTCACATTGCTAAACCAGAAAGCTGTTCATAAGCAATATATTTCAGTTTGAGTTTAAACTAATATTATCACTGAGTCTTCCTCCTTGATTTCTCTACAGTATCACTACTTTACATTATGTAGTAGTATGTCTAGCGCAAAGCCTGTTTTCCAAACCAGTTTCCCAAGTGACATACAACTGGTGATGGGAAAGACAGGAGGAAAATCAGTGTAAAAGCAACTTTTGTCTTAAAGAATAGTCAGTGCTGTACTTAAACTTTTATACTTGTACCTTTCATCACTGCCCTGCAGTTGTTTTAATTACTGCACAACAGAACTGCCACCCTGCATCTCAACTTGCACAGGGCATGAAAAGCTCATTCTAGCCAGTTGTTCTTATTTTGTTAAAAATCACAACTTCTACAACCAGGCAACCAACGACTATGGCAGGCAGCTGCCTTCTTATGCAGACTGTAAAGCATCTTGCTTATACATTTATTATTACTCACCCAAACTATATATCCCTAAATATGTAATTATCTGTGACCCAAATTACCTATCACAGCTAGAGAGCCTATAAACAAAACATCTGTGGGTGGTTTTTTGGAGTTGTTAGATCTTCCTGAACTTGGAGAAACAACAATAACCAAACCAAACATCAACACTCCTCCCCCACCACTCCGAATCAAACAAACAAAAAAAAAAAACCCGACATCACTCCAAAAGAACTCCCCAGGTCCTTCAGTAAGTTGGGTTCAGATCTGTTGCTACTGTAATACCGCCTGGTCCCCTGTGTGGGCTGGATGCAGTGTGACGGCAGCCCGGAAAGGCACAACCCGGCAGGCCACAACAACTAACCCCTCACCGCCCCAAAGCAGCACAAGCGCTCTGCCTCTCTCCTGCCCCACGCCAAGGTTTTTCCTGTGTTTCTCAGTAAAAACAATCTCCAGTGGACAGCCCAACCTCCCAGCCAGTCCCCCAGAGCGGAAGAAGAGGGCCGCGCTTACTTTTTCTTCCTGGTACACCGTGTCTATGAGGTTGACAGAGTGGAAGATGCCCTGATGCTCCTCGGAGACGCACTGCCCGCACCCCGCCTGCCGGCACATGCGGCAGTAGAGCTGCACCGGCCGGCTCGGATGTTTCTGGCAGCTTCCCCCGAACGCCTGCAGGGAGAGCAGGTCGGACCCCGGCTTCGGCGCCAGCGCCGCCTCCCCGGCCGTGGCGGCGCCCGCCGTGCCGGCCCGGTAGAGCTTGACCACCTCCGCCAGGGTGGTGTTGACGGGCAGGGCGGCGACGCCGCCGCGGGGCAGCAGGCACAGCTTCCTGCACAGAGGACAAGGCACCCGGGCGCAGGACGGGCCCGGGCCCGGCCCCGGCGCCCCGCGGCCGAGACGGGCCTGTCCCGGGCTCCGCTGCAGCTGCTGCAGGCGGGCGGTCTCGGCCGAGGCCAGGCACTCCAGCACGCAGCCCCGGCAGAAGTTGTGCGAGCACAGCGGCAGCGTCACCGGCTCCTCCAACAGCGACAGGCACACGGCGCACGTCAGGCTCGCCTCCATCGGCGGCGGAGAGGGGTCGAGCGGCCGCCGCCGCTCCTGCTGTTCCGGGCTCCGCTCGTACCACTGCCCCTCCACTTCCAGCTCGATGGCACCGGGGGGGCTGCGGCCGGGCTGCCACAGAACCCGAGAGCGGCGCGCTCCAAACGCCACTTCCAGCCGTCAACTTCCCAAGAAGTGGAGACCGGCCGCAGGGGGCGGGGCCAGGAGACGAGTGTTGGTGATAGGTGAAGGCGCGAGATTGACATCGCCTTTCTCCAATAAAAGCAGGGGAGGTCAAGGGGGCGGGACAGAGGGCTTTGGGACCCGCCTCCTGCCTGGCGCGCGAATGCCGTGGCGCCCGCGGGGTCCTAGCGCCGCCGCCGCCATTTTGTGACGGGCTGTGGGCGGAACTCCCGCCTCACGTGATGGGACGGGAGCTCGGGAGGCGCTGGGAGCTCAGCGCGTTTGCAGTCCCGAGAAGTGTCCTTGTTCCTTTCTGCGAACCCGCAGGGTTAAAATCAAGTGACTCCGGAGTGCCGAGGTACGGCTGTTGGGAGCTACCTCCAGTTTACGGTTGCAAAGCCAGGACATAACTTCGGTTTACAATGATGTTAGTGCTGAGCAACTGGGACAGTGCTCAGCTTATTTTCCTCGCCGCCCGCCCCCCTTTTTTTGTTTACTTTTACTGCCAGCGCCGTTCGCCCCAAAGTTCTGGCTTAGTTCTGGCTTATTATCCTCCCGAAGTGTTTAGAAATGAGTCAAACTCAAGAGAGATTGGAAAGAAATTTTATTATAAATCAACATATTTGTAGCACGACGTCAGTATTTGCAGTGAAGCCAGATGTGCTGCAATTAGCGTTATTTCCAGAGGCTGAGGGAAGCGACAGGCGCCAAGGGCACAAAAGCAAGCAGGTATTTGTGCCTTTCTGCAGCAGTGCTCTGTTCAGTCACACGGACTGCACCTGCAGAAAGTGCCTCTGTAAGAACATCCTGAGCGCCTGTGTCCAGTTGGACACCTTGTGGCGGCGGAGAAAAGCCACGGGCAGATGTTTTAGTGAACACTACCACACTTTCCCTCCCTTGTGTTTCCATAAGAGGCTGACAGGGGGTACGTACGTCCAGCATAGCATGCCCTGGACAGCCCCGGGGTATTCCAGGCAGCGTCACGTTGTCCCGTGGGGCGAGGATTCCAGGCCGGGCTCTGCCGCCTCTGCTGGTCGCTGCGGGAGCCGCGGTCTCCGGCTGCTGTGTCAGACTGTCCGCGGCTGCTCCAGGGAGCGCCGCGCCCCTCAGCCTCGCTCGGGGGGCAGTGCCACCCACAGGCAGTCAGTTCTGCCACCTAGAGCAGTCTGGATATACCTCCGTGCTCCGAAGGTCAATATTCCATGGATGTTTAAAATGAGATGGGTAAAAATGGAATTCAGAGTTTAATCCTCTGGAACTTCTCTGCTTAGAGTTAAGTAGTGCTTCGTCTTCCAGGTTTTCTAGTGCATGGAGTACTTGATTCTAATTTTTACTTTTGTTTCAAGCAGAATAGGGGAAAGGCCATTAAGTATGTAATCTAAGTAAAAGAGAATACAAAAGCACTCTGACAGTGATAATAGATGGGGGCAGCCGCTTAGTGGGGTTGTAACTAAAACAGTAATGATCAAGAGCATAAAATATGAGATAAAAGAAGTAGGAAAGACAAGAAAAAATTTCCTTAAAGAAGGAAATACTTTTGCTAAAAGTAAATAAAGCAAAATATTTTCTCTAGTGTGAAAGTGAATAAATTCTTCCAGAGCCTGTTGATGAATGTTTGGGGTGTTGTGACACTAAACGATAAACAAATGCCTGCGTGGAGTCATTTACCACTTGCTCCATTAATTTACATTAATCATAAAATCAGAAATATTAATTAGAACTAGGGATAAAACCATGTTCCTGCCAACATTTTTTCCTGTCTCAAGAAAGATTTAATATTAGCAAATGTACATTACTGATTTTGCTTTTTTTGTTGTAAAATAGGGATCTCTTACAGTTAGTGCATTTCATATAGCTTCAATAATTTCTATTTAAAATAGATTCTCACAGCTTTCAGAGTACATCTTCTTAATAATCTTCTGTATCACCAGCACAGATAGCAAGTAAAGCACTCTCGTAATGCCCTGAAGCAAAATGCTGCAAGGAAAAAAAAACCAAAACCAATATATTTCTTTGACTATACATTTTCTGAATTTTTCTTTTTTTGGTGTGTGACAAGGACTAGACTACTGTAAGGTTTTATAAAATACTGCATTGTTTTCATAATGGTTCTAGGCTGAGGTTTTTTATTTTAATTTCACTTGTTATGGCCTTTGGTTTCTTGGGCACTTAGAAACTGTCTTTGAAAGGCTGGATCAAATCTGTTTAGTAATTCTCAAGTTCAATACCAAAAATTCATGACCAATTTTGTAAAGTTGCTGCATATCTTGCAGTTGGATTATAGTGACATAAAAAAGGTAGTGTCTTAGCAAGAGACATTTTTCTGTACAATTAAACAGATTCAAAGTTTTGTTTCAAGATGCAGACCAGGAGTACAAGAGGAACAGGGTTTGTGAAGGTACTACCTAAGCACAAGGATAAAACCAGATATTTACTCCAGTTTTGCACAAAAGTGGTACCAGCCTAGCCTTACAGATCAACATGAGATAGGATGTTCTCAATTAGTGTAGAAATCATTCATACAAACTCTTGTTCAGCACACACTGTCATGCCCTGTTTATAAACACATCTTGCATTGGGGAGGGATAAAATCACAGAGAGTGAGTTGAAAATTAATTTCTCATTCAAATCAAACTGAGGCACTGAAAATGTGATACTGTTTTTACATCTTGCTTTTTTGTTTGTTTTATTTTAAACCAAATGGTTTAACAGAGTGGTACAGTCTGTGTGGTACCAGTGCTGAATAAATGCAGAAGTTTGTAAAAACTTACTTTAATGTCATGGAAGAGTGATTTCCCATATCTCTCTTTGTATCGCTGCCGGATGTTCATCAAGTCTATCTCACTCCTGGCAATGAGAATCCTAATAACTGTTTTATTGTGAAACCCAAAGTCCTAAAATGAAAAAAGAAAATGAGAGGAAACTTGATATTTGCATAATATGTGTTTGCCCATCTGTGTATGCTCGTATAAATGTTTAATAGATAAAGACAAGATATACCCATATAGGAATATAAGTATATAGCATATAAAAGGTATACCCATAAAGGTATCCTAGATGTTAAAGGAGTCTAAGGGTTTTATTCTACTGAGTTTTCATGTACACAAGTAATAGAATTCATGTAACTTTATAACAGGGGGTCCCTATATGCCAGTGATTTATCCGTGCACTGAAACTTCTAAAAAAGGAAAATATGACAAACTTTTTTCAATATTCCTAGGAATTCGATTTGTGAGTAGCAGTTGTGACTGTTGTTGTGGAGTCCATTCAAACTATAATGAGGCCAGTAATCTATTTCACAAAAACTGCTGCCTCATGTGAATTCTGTGAGATTTTTAACCATAGCTTTAGAATTTACGTAGCTTTTGTTCAGATGTGTTTTATTTTAACTGTTTTGAAATAAATTTTCATAATTCTGTGAAGAATGGGGACATCTAGTGGCAATGAAAAGTCAAAAGAAGTTAGCACTTCTACAAAGAACAAAAGAATCTGCATGAAGTCCTATAAAGAAATATAAGCATTTGTCTTAATGTAACATTAATTTATTATTTAAGTTTTAGCTGTACTTATTAAATATTTACAGACAAAAAGCTATGTAGTAAGAATAATGCACATTGAGTTCTGCACAGCAGGAGGAGTTTCCATGCATAGAAAAAAAGTCTTCTATTAAAAAAAAAAAAAATTGACAGTTACCAGACAGATAATTTTTAAGGTATCTAAATACTTAAACTTTTACTTCTACTGCTTAGACACTTCTACTGCTAAGTTGTTTAGGCACTACTGCTTTGAAATTTATGTAGGTACCAACAGTTTTAAAACACGTGGTCAAACCTTAAATATTGAAGAGACTGATTTGTAAGTACTTCTTTTAGAATGATCAAACAAACAAAGAAACAAAAAAAAAATAGGGAGCTTATTTTTATGAAATGTGAAGTAGAATGACTACTTACATGAATTGCATTATAAAGCCTGTAAGCAAAGTAGGAAGGCTTGTCACGAATGCAGAGTACTAGGAGGGGAGAATTGCAACAGGTAAACGGAAGATTATTATAAAATAATTTCTTTAGGGTTTGGGCTCCTTGAAATAAAAAGCTGGGTAGTGCTGTCCATGACTCAGGTTAAAATTAAGCTACCAATATTTACTAATACAACTGTATTTATAATTTTGAAAGTTTGGTGGTGGTTTGCTGTTACATCAAAAGGCCTATTAAATATCAGTGAATACACTCACATGTCATATTTGTAGAAATATTTTTATCCTTACTCTATAAAAGAAAGATAAATGTACATAAAGCTTGAAACTTATTTATATACCACCAAAGTCCTGGAAACATATCTGGTTATTTAATATGTAAAATCAGTTGGAAATGCAGTTATCACACAAAATTTATTATCAAATAAAGTAGATACTAGTTCTGCTCAGGCAGAAGCTAGTGCTGCATAGATACATTTTTAGATTTACACTAACACGAGAAAGTAGTTAAAATATTCTTTTCTAATTATCTCTGGAAATTTAATTGCACAATATAGGAGATTAAAGTGGATAAAGTATCAGAAAAATAGTATTCTTGATGCACAAGAGATGATATACTAGAATTTATTACGAGATTGCTGCTAGTAAAAAGAATATTTTTACATTACCTATTGCAACCAGTAATTCTTGAAAGTATCCATCGTAACATTCATTAATGGCATCTACTATGTCTTGCCCAGAGATATTTTGGAACTCCTGGAAAACTTGGGGGGGAGGGGTGGAAAAAAAAATCTTGTTTTATTCTAGTTCATTAATAATGGTCAACTTGCTTTTTGTGTTTTTTTTTTTTTCCTTATTTCTCCCCAGTACTGTAACTATTGAGTTTATTTTTTACCCTTATTATTCTCAGTGTTTCAAAGTGTTTATATTGCCCACGTCAGGCAACCTAAATGAGTAGCCTGAAACCTGGCTTCTAGGACATTTTCCCCTGGGCTCTTCAGCCTACAGTATGAAATGAATGCATGCCACATATCTAGCAACATCTGTTTGTGACACTTGGAAGAATGTCCTGCTGGTAAGACAACTTCCTTGCTTGGCTTGGCTGAAACTGGCAAGACTCCTGGGTTGTGGCAAGGAGCCAGGACTCACGTGACGCGTACACTCGCTGCAAGGTGCAGATACGCAGACACCCAAATGTCCAGGGTGTGCTTTCTCCATTACGGAAGGAGGAAAATTCTTTTTCTGCTGACTACAAAACTTATGGAGGACTACAGTATAGGCAGGGCCCTCAGATGTCAGGAAGAGAGCAGAACATAGAGCAGGTGTGTTAATCCTGTCATCATCAGCTGGATGAATTTGTTGATCCATGATAGCAAAGTAGTTCTAAGCTACTGTTGGAAGTTGACGTAAGAAATACAGTTGGCTGCACAGTGATAAACTTGTCAGCAGACAGACTGTTTTTCTACTGCAGAGCAGAAACTCAAACTTGCCACCAGGTGAAATAGGTTTATTTTCTACAATGGAAGATTTGGATAAGTTCACATAAATTTCCTGCAATCTGTAGCTGTATCTGATTTTCTATTTTAAGTAAAAATGGCCCTTGTGTTTCTGTGTTTATGTTCGTTACTGGAAAACAGGTGTGAACAATGAAGTCCTCTCATAAAAACTGTGAAACTTCTGGGGAAAAGCTTCAACAAAGTAATGTGTTTTCACATGCAAGCATTTGCTGAAAATATTCCATCCAGCTCTCCCTAGGTGTTTTCCCTCATAAGAGTTGCTTAGGAAAAATGAATAAAATAGTTAAAAAAAATCTCCCCCATCCTGTTGTGTCATGTGTAGACTCAGTGCAGCTGTAACTTTTGCCTTTCTTTGGTCACACATTCTTCTCTGGGTTACTAGGCATCCTCATGCCTGTCTGTTCTGTCTACAGCTGTGAGTAGTCATCGGGCAAACTTCAGTTTTGCATTACTTCCAAATACCCATTCACATCAGTGCAAGTCTGAGAGCCCCAACAGTTCACACTTGGTTTCAGGCTAATGACCTGCTGCACACTGACTGTCTTGGTATGCAGAGCATGGCTTTCTTAGCGAGTCACATTTTTCCTTTACAGTCTGTATGCAAACAGCTGAACTGCTGGGTTACCCATCCACAACTGCTGCTGACTCCTGTTGCAGAGAATCATTTGCAGCATGTTTTTGTGTTCGCCTGTCTTCTGCTGACATGCTTCCCATAGAATCTAATATATCAGAAAAATTGAAAAAAAAAAAAAAGCAAAATATTTAAAGTAAGTCCTTCATCACTTTCCAACATTTCTTTTCTGTTTTTTTTTTTTTTTTTTTTTTAATGTTTGAGAACTTCACATCTGAGCATATTTACCATTGCATCCTGAGCAGCTGTAGAAGGGTCTGCATAGCCTTCCATCCTTGTTCCCTGAGGGAAAAAAGAGATACCAATTCTTCAAAAGTTAGATCCTAAACCACTGTAGGAATATAAAGTTCTCTGTATATGAAGCTGTGTTGGATTTCTTGAGGTTACAAATATAGGCCTTTAGGTTGGATCAGTATATTGCATGGTTGAATTTGCAAATGTGGAGAATATCTTCAAGATGTCACATTATGTCTTAGTTTTCTTTAATAAGAGGAATTCTGGAATGAAAAACAGTCTTGTGTGAGGAAGAAGTGGGGGAAGTAGATAAACCTATCCCATTTTTAGTCCTATTTTAAATAACTTTTTACCTGACCGACACAATCCCACTGCTATTTTCAGAATTATGGATGTTATATTGTTTACTCTGATATGTAACTCTGAGGGGAAAACAAGGATAAGAGTAACATCTGCCATTCACTGATTAGTTCTTATCAATATTCATATTACCAGAAAAATCTTTTCTCAATGTATTTTTCTTCCTGCGCAAACCATAGGAGCAAGATCATCAAATAATAGAGATTTTGCTTGCTCATAATCATTGTCTAAAATTAAGATCCAGGGTTAGGAAATGGTTTCTTTGATGACAACTTTGATAAACAAACCCCAAAAGAATAGTTCCCTTTTTTTCCATACATTTAATAGCTTTTCAGTTACACAAACCAAGCTAAATTCTTAAGTGAAGAGACTATGATCTGAATTATACAGTCAGAAAAAGAGAAGAGCACCTACTTCTGGAATTGCTTTTATAACCATAGTCATCTTGTAAGGATACAAATCAGCCTTGTTTGCAGAACTCTTAAGAATCTGAAGCTCATGTATTTACTGCCTTAATAATATGTGCTCGAAGCAATTTTGTTTAAAATTTACAGTCATGTTACCTTATATATGAAGGGAAGGATTAAAATTAGGTATTGGCTGTCAGCTTGTAGAATGACTTATTTGTAGTTCTTTTTTGTTAAAAATGCTAATTTACATGTTAATTAAATGGTGATAATTTCACTCAGTGAAATTTCTAGTAGTAGGATAAATTATCTGAAATGAATTGTGATGGAATGGTTGCATAAAATTACATACACAAGAAAACAAGGGAATAAAGACAGGGCAGTGTACAATAAAATAACTGTAATAATACTCTACATGAGTCAAATGTCCATTTTCTCCAGTAACATTTTATAATTATGGTTTAAATTGTAGAAAATTATCATATTTCAATTAATACCCAAAAAAAGAGAATTAGAATAAAATCTGTTTGTCTCAGACTAGAATATTAATTAGCCTGAATTTGAAACTTTTTTAACTCTGTTAATTTCTTTAGGAAGGACCATAACCTATAACTTCTAATCTGCCTCAGGTTGGACATGAAAGCTGTAAATACAATACTATAGCAATTGAATAGTTTGCTGTGCATATGTGGAGCATGGTTCAGTTTTCTCTCAGTAGTCTGATTTAACAGAAATTAAAGCAGAGGTTTTCTGCAAAAAAAGCATTAAAAGATGCACTGGAAATGTTGCCTGGTTATAGAACTAGAAAGGGTATGTTTTAATGAAATACCTCTGAGTTTTAATATAAGATGATATGCAAGCATGAGTGATTTGACTAAAAATCTTCAGAAGTTCAGTATAACTGAGTCAAGTTGAAATTTCCTGCAACTCTTCCTTATCCTGAGTGAAATAGCAGATTTTGTTAGCCATGAAATTGCTGATTTTAGGCTTCTTTATCAATACCTGCTGGGGTTTAAGAAAATTAGGTCTAGTAATGTATAGTCAGAGATTATTTTAAATTTGGTTCATTTGATGGGTAAAGTATGTCCATGGTTTTAATAATTATGAGAAGTGAGGTTGCTTAAGTGAGGTTGCTCTTCATTTTTAAGCAAGGAAAAAATTTCATTATTAGGGAAAAAGCGTCCAGCATGAGAAAAAAATATTTTCTGTTTATAGCTTCTACTTTTGAAACTTCTGTCTTTTTAACTTCAGTGAAGCCTACTAACTTTAGTGAAGCCTATTTCAAATTTGTGTAAGAAGTTTTTCCCTAGACATGCACGTATTTAAAAGTACAGATACACCTTATGTATGCTGTTATCCCATGACAGTCCTTTATTATTTGTTACTCTGGTTTACAGAAGATTTTAAAGATAATGAGCACAGTAAATGCAATGAGAATGACAAGGATGACCACTCTGTTGTATAAACTACAGACAAAAGTTGGTATGTAAAAGTGATACTTCCTTTGCTTCTGTGCTAGCATTTTGTGATTGAGCATATGCAATAGCACAAAGAGCATTATATTTTAAGCAGTGAATTCTTTAATTCTTTATTTCTTAGTCAAATGTGAATATATCTCTATTTTCACATAATGTTTGACTTGTTTATCATGTATTCTGATAATGGAGAAAACATACACTTTTAAGAATTACAATCACATTTGTACATGCAAGTAGACTCATTTTGAGATGAGACAGATGGAGCAAAGAGTCAGCAGGTGAATACCAATGGGAATTTATAGAATAATCTGTTTACCTTTGCTTCCATCTGATATCCAAAGTCTAAGTCAGAGTAGATTAAGGAATTCAGTTTCTCTTCTTCATCAGCTTCCCTCCTGTTTCTTGTTTAAAAGTGCAGCCCTATTGAGCTAGCTTTAATCACAGTCACCTTAAAATGTAAAACTTATCAAATACTATTGAAAGTCATTATGAATCTTTTAGAAATGTAAGTCATGGTTCTTGTTATTGCAGTACCTGAGCGAGGTTCATGAGTGTATCTCTGAAGTGCCCTGAAGTCTCAGAATCAATATCTTGTTGAAGATCAGTATTATATTCTAGATTAAACCAGAAACATATAATCTTAAATCACAAATGAACATGCTCTGAATGGTACAAATGAAGATTATCAATCAAAGGACAAGTAGGCTTACTCTATTCCAGTGTAACCTGGGCAGGTTCTACAAGGACCTGGCTCTGGGGCTGGCACATCCATCTGGCCCTGCTGGAGGCCCTCAGCCACTGTCCCCACTGACTTGCCCACCCACCACATTGCTTCAGCTTTTTGTATGTAGGTATGGAAGAAGATGTGGAAAGGGAACCAGTCTGTGCTGGTCAGTACTGTATTTTTGTAGTTCTGTTCCTCTGTTTGCTAATACCTCCAGAACACACATAGTACAGCTGCTACTCTGCACTTGGTAAAAAAGCTTACGCATTAGGTAGGCTTCTTTCATCTGGAAGATCTCCATATTTGATCTTGAGGCTAATATGTCAATCAGGCATTTTTCTTCTGTGTCTATTCCCTATATGGAAAGAAGTAAATATGAAAAGATGTTGTGTAGTAGAAACCCCAGTTTTTAAAAGAAAGCAATGCCGTCCTTATCAGAAATAACAAAATAATAGCAGTTTCTGTAGTGTACTTTTGCATAATCTACCTGTTCAAATTAATATATTTCAAATATATTTCTAAATCTGAATTTCAGCATGTACCTTAGCAAGTGGGAAATGAAGCAAGACTAATGTTGACAGAAACATAATGGGAATAATTTTGGAACTTTAGTAAGAATTTTTGTTTGCTGAAAGAAATCAGATGCAACAATTGAGCATACATCCCTAGCAAGTGCTCAGGAAATCTGAGGTAGACATGAGCATAGGTATTATGTTATTCTTCTCTCTTCTTATCATCTTCTTTTTTTTTTTTTAATAATTTATTTAGGAATGCTATAGTCTGTAATATCTAGCATAGAACTTGGTATTAAAGGAAAGCATCATGGAGTACATGCAGTGCTGCAAATCACTGTATTTTCCCACAGGGTTTGAATTAATTTCATAAACTTCAATTGACATAAGATGTGGTGTATATGCTGCTTTTGATATGCTCATGGATAGTGTTAATGACTATTCTGCATTTGGGATAAAGGGAGAGAATTAGAGCCCATAGATACACATGGGCTGTTTTTTTTTACCTTGGCCATATGAATCCAGGTCAAGATGGAGTACTGTAAGAAAGTTCAAGTTTGATACACATAGGAAAAAACAAACTTTGGCAATTTTGTGAATTATGCTAATGAAAGACATGATTCCTTTGTTAGCAATGATATTTCACAATCCTTTTAATGCCAACTGTAATAAAGACATACCAGTACTTCTAAAGATTTATTTAAGTGTCTGAAGAACAAAAAAAAAAAAAACTATTAACTTTTTTTGGGGGGGTGGCAGAATTCTCAAAATTGGCAAGATAAATCATCTTGCCCAAAGTCTTGTAATCTCTGTCTTGCTTGTGACAGCAGACAGCAAAAAATATTCATGGGAAGAAAAGGAAACCAGTGTTGAACTTTGATATGACTTCCTGTCTTTTAGGAGTTGGTAATTCAGGAATTTCCTGAGAAGAATTATTTTCAATAGCTTACAGCCAACCTGGTTTCAAAGAATATATTGAAGTCCTCTATGAACTAAGTTGTGCTTTTGGTCTCCACAATGCCCTCTGGGAATGAATTTTACCAGAAATGACCTGATATTTGAAAAAATGTTTTTGTTCACAAACTTCAGTTGTGTGAGGATTGCAGTCTCAGATCCAGGGAAGAAAAGGAAACATTTCCTTCAAAATGGGAAATCAGTTCTGTTTCAATGGGGTTACTTTATTGTAGGCACACAGTTTGTGGTGATTGGGAGTGGGGCTGTGGCCCAGCCCCATCCCCAGTGGGCACAGCTGTGAGCAGCCGGCGAGCAGCATTGACAGCAGTGAGCCATGGAGTGCCCAGGGGCACCGACCAACCACCAAAAGACACACAGATGCAATGCATGTAAGGTGAGGAGTATAAAAGGCTGGACTAAAGAGCAAAAAAGGGTTGATGCTTGTGACCTACCAAAGTGGATGATGTCATTCTGTATAGGTAGGTGCCAGACACTTTCAGATGAGGTATGGTGTTACACTGTATGGGTGTATGCTTAAAGTCTTCTGAACTTGTATGGTGGTACTCTGTGTGTCATGGCCCTCTCAACTGTGCAGTACGCTGTGACACTTTGTCACAGAGAACTTTGTAAGTGTTTATGCAAAGATATTCTGCTAAAGAAGTATTGGTCTTTAGAGAGGTGGACTTAAGTGCATGGCACTGGCTGTGGAAGTAAATTTGGTTTGTAGCATACATAAATGCTTGCAAAAACCAGTACCTTACATTTGCCTGTATAAATATTTCTTCATTTTCTGAGTTTATCGTGGGTGTTAAGTGGGTTGTATATGCTCCATGACAAGGATATTATTTATGCTGGCTTTAGCACACTGATGGATAAACTTCAAATAGCATTGTATTTTTGATGAGTAGTGGACTAAGTGATAGTACACTACACCAGTGTACTAACTATCAGTAGCTTATCAACCAATTAAATGTAAAAAAAAAAGTGTTTAGTATTCTAATTAATGACTGCAACTATAAGCAATTCTGAATATGAAGATTACCTTCAAGGCATGCCAAAGCTCATGGGCATCATAAGATGCAGGTGGGTACATCAAGCCAACCATAACTTCTTTAAAGTGATGAGAGAGATTCTCTTTTAGGTCTGTTATCAGATCCTTGAAAAGAAAAAGAAAGTGCACAGACAGGATTATCTCTATATGAATATAGAGATACTTTACACTTTAAAACACAGCTTAAAAATTATTAGTAGTTTTCTCTGTAACTGATTTAGGATGAACTGTCAAAGATGAATTCTGGCTAAAATTAATTAAAAAAAAAAAAAAAACAAACAACTTTTAAGTAGTACGTGCTTGTTCTACCAGTATGAGCAAGATGAGAATAGGTGCACAAGCCAGTAGGCTGCAATGGACTGTTGGTTTTCAGCTCATTAGAACAGAGAAGAAAATGCAGATATTTAACTGCAACTATTACTTAAAGTCTTGGAAAACTGGATATCACAGCAGAGTATCTGTAGCTTCCCTTACCCTACTCCCTGTGCAAATCCGAGAGAGGTAAGCACCTTTGGAAGATCAAGCTCATAAAACACTGGTGGTTTCTTTCGATTTTTTTTCAGTGTTACCATGTGAATAATTTAAGAAAAATCATCTCTATTACTCCTAGTACATAAAAATCAGCTTTGGATAGTTGGGAGGTTATGTATATGTTACATTCAAACTGAATTTGATAGATGCTGGATTAATAATATGGAACCCTCTTTTTCCTCCTCATATTTCTCAGTTCTTTCTTGCCAGATAGCTGAGTAATGGATTAGCGTTTCCTCTCCATTCTCCATTCCTAGTAGCATCCTTCAAAACACTGCAAATGCCAAGAGCTTGTTAAGTTACTACTAGTTACTGTTTTTGATTGAGGACACTTGTGCAGTCCTTTTTTTTAAAATATTTTGTGTGCAGCACTAGACACCTGTAAGATGTTCTAGTCTGTCTGAATTGAAAGGCATGCCAGAAACAGTTCCCATTTTACAAACGAGTATGATTCCAGAGCTGTATTTTTTTCAGGCCTGTACTTTGATTTTAATATGTTTCTGAATACAATTAATTTAATAGCTAGAGTAGCAATGAAGGAAGACATATGCATATTAAAAATTAAATTTATGATGGAGAAACATACAGTCTTTGGTGAATGCACTTTGGATTCATTTGACAGCCACTAAATCGCACATGGCGTAGAAATTAATTCATTAAGACATTTTACTTCTGATGACATGCTTGTGGGAAAATGGATTAATAATACAAATGGATACTACTTAAAATTACTCCTGCAATCAGAACGAAGGGAAGTATTGGAAATAAGAAAAGACAATTCTAAGTTGTCATTATTTTAATTTCCTGATCATCTTTGCTGTAAGAAATCCTTGGAGGCTAATTGTAAGAAGGAATCTTAAAACTTCTGTCTCAATCATGCAGCTAGTTCAGGTCTCTAATTTTTTTTTATATTTCTTTCCTTCTAATGTCTCAGTTTACATTTGTCTAATGAATGGGCATAGTGGCTACCAAATTGACCACACTGAAGTGAAATAAGGAGGGAAAAGGATTGGGCCAACAGGTTTACCATAAATTGAACTGATAAGATTAAAACTGCTGTTGCCTTGCCACGTCTCTTCTCTGTCCTGTGATATTTGCCACTCATAAACTGGGCTTGCCAAGTGGTGCATTTGTTCAATGCAATATAACCAGTGGAACAAATTGCAGCTGGGGAAGTGCGATGTGTACTAAATTATCTTTCAAAGCACAAACTGGAGCAATTCAATGCAAGATACACCACATTCTTGGTGGGGTTTTTTTAGAAACTGTCAAGAGTATCATGATGAATCTTGCACTGTGAAGTGTACCCAGTGCTTAATGAATTAATTTGAATTAAAATTCTGGTTATATTGGAATATGTTCCATGATTTTTAGCGTGTTCTGTACCCCATTGCTAGAATATGAAAACAGTTTTCTTGCTTTTCCCTTCTATTATTCATAGTTTTAGAGACTGAGATTCTTAAAAAGGACATCTGAGGTTTTCTTTGGCTTTTTTCTTTCTTCTAGGTCTTTAGGTCTGTGTCCACTGCCTTTATAGCACTTCATGTTAACTCATGGCTGAAAGAGGTATGAATTTAAAGGTAATATTTGTTTTCATGGGGACTTATTGATTTGTTTAGAATTTTGTTTTGAAAAGAAGAGCCAATTAGCTTTGTGGCGAGCAAGTCAATAATTGTTCCCTGTGAATACAAAATAATTGCATTCCTGAAGGACATTTGCTAAGGCTTTATTGTGATACTGTATTATCTCTAGATCATCTTCATGTATTGGAGAGCAGAAATTAAAGATAAAAACGTGACATTAATATTTAAAAAAAAATTCCCTTGTTAAAGTGATAGGTCCAGTTGATACACTGTAGAGAAAAGTTTAAAACAAAACAGCCAAACTGCTATGGATGGAGTAGAGAAGGACTGTCCAGTGGTGGAGATAAACAAGCACTTGGGAAGAATGGGCTTGGGTGCTTCATGTCACCGGCACCTTTGGGTAGCTTGACATACTTTAGTTTGCTATAAGTAACATTAAAACTTAGGAGTATCGTATGGCTAAACACTGAACTTGTATAGTTTGCATGTGTGCTGGTAACCTAATAAATGCATCATAATAGAAAAAACAGGTTTAATAATTTAGGTCCTGATTTCTGTCACTGTCACGGTCTCTGGAAGGTGGATAGCTGTGATTCAGTTATTGTTCTCTTATCGTCTCTATAAAATATACTTATTCATTCAAGGCAACGTCTAAAATATGATTATTGTGTGTTTCATTTTTCTTAACAGTCCAAATGAAGTCATTGATCTCCTGGAGATGAGTAACAACACAAAATCAACCTACTACACTGATTAAATCCAGCTCTTTTTCTCCAGTTCTAGTACAGTAAGTGTGTGTTTGAGCTTATTCAGGGGTCAGCGGTTTTGAGGTTTTTTTTAGTATAGAGTTGGCACAAAGATTGTCTCTAGAAAACTTCTTGGCCCCCAAACGTATTCTGCTGGTTAATGAACTGGAGGTGTAAAAGCACCACATAATGTGGAGGTTTTTCAATGAACCATTTCTGGTTAACCCTAATTAAGGGAGATGGCTCTGTGGTAGTGTTTGTGCAAACTCATTGTTCTCACTCATGCTGATTGATTCAAGGACAAGCAGACACTGGCCCAGAAGGAATTTTCCAGTGAGTCCTTAGTTTTACAGGCTTCAGGAAATGAAGAAAACTGGATTTTGTTCTAAGTGTTTGTCTGCCTTCTTTCAGGGCAAGGGCATGTCTAGTCAACTTAAATAGTATCTAGTTTTACACTGTACTTTTCATGACTTTCACATGAATTTTTCAAGGGGTGTTACTATTATTTTTGTCCTTATATAGCTGTAGCAACTAAGGAGAATGCAGGCACTGCAACTCTCCCAAAGTTAGTTGGTTAGCAACAGTAGATCTGGAAATAAAATGAGGATCTCTATCTCTGTGTATGTTTAAGAACTTGGATAACAAAAATTGTTATATACAGTAAGTATAGATAAAATACAGTTTTCTAACAATAACTTTGTCTTAAATTTTAAACACCTTTCAAAGATAATAACTTTAACATTAAGCAGCTCAGATGACTATAGTGCTTACTGTACAGATGGGACTATGGAATGAGGTGTGAGACTGTCAGTGCTTGAGATGTGAACATTAATCATTATGTAAGATAAAAAGCCTATAACTCTTTCTGTGGTGTTTTTCTTTGGTTACAATACTATTTTATTATTTATTCCAAAAACTTGAAAAATGTATTTCAAAACCCCCCAAAAGCACATAAAGGAAGAAATAAGTCTGTCCAGATATTTTAGGCTGGGCAATAGGGAAGAATGGCCTGTAGAAGAAGGAACTTCTCTTGTCCTTTTCTAACTCTATGTGGCGGACAACACTTCTGCTGTAGAAATGACAATGTGATACCATCAGAGGTTATCATTAGCTAGTGAGCAAATTTGTGTGCCAGCCTGTTGTGCCAGCCAGCTGTCTGACAGGCTTGTGGTTCCAGTGAGTGACCTGAGAGAAGGGCTGACAGCTGCACAGGAGAGAGGAGAGAAAGAAGTAATAAAAGTACAAAGTGTTTCTGTCGTACCCTGCCATACATGTCTCTGTATGCCTCGGCAATCATGAGCCGCTGGGAGTTGCAACGCTGAGTTAGGATTTCAATCAACACATCCTTTTCACAACCTGAAAAGGAAATGACACAGGCTCTAAATTAACAAACTGGTGCTAATTACTTACATTTGTGATTGCTTGTATTTTGTTTAAGAACACTAATATTTTGAAAAACTGATCAAGATACTAATATCCTGCTAATATTTACCAATCAGTTAGATTTCTGTGCTTGTGTGTCTTGCACTTGCTGGTGTAATACCATCAAAAGGTGAAGCAGTCTGTTATTACCAGATGCATCATCACCTCTCACAAACTCAGTGGATTTGAAAGCATCAATAAAACAGGGGCTTTCAAGGATTCAGAACCAGGCTCAGTAGCAGGATTTGTGGCTATTGGAAGCATTGGAAGTCATACTGGTGTGTTTTGTTGATATTGATTAAATTGTCGTTTAAGAATTAGGGATCTGTTTTATGAGGATGATAAATGTGTTAGACCATTTGTTGAAAAACTCAAAGTTAGAATTTCAGAGGAACTGTATGAAGTTTAAAAATACAGTATTTTACTCCATTTCCAGAGGGCATTTTGTTGAAGGTTACCTATGATGGTTTGCTTGATAGGTAGAACATACTAGTAAACTTCTATAATGAATCTGTATTATTGCTTATGAAAAATAATAGCATATTCAGAAAATTATGTTGGAGTTTTAAAATTGTTTTTGCATCCCAAGGGTTGGGATACTGTACATAACAATTTCTTTTTACTTTTCAGAAAATAGTTATTATTAGAAATCTTTACAGCTTACATAGTCTCTATAGTAAAAACTGAGAAGGACCCAGATATAGGAAATATTATGAAACTTGTGTAGTATCACTGGAACAGCAGAGGTGACTGAACATCCTCATAAGAATGAATGCCATGTGCAGGATTAAGGGTCGGTGTCAGTGCCTGTAAAGGATATGGTGACTTTACCTTATCTGAAGATGAACTGTTTATTTTGTCAATTGTCCTTTAAATTACAACTTTGTTCCATGTACTTTGATAGGCAGGTTAAAATTAAGGTTGATGTACTTGTACTTAGAGCATTAAATGAGGAATATCATGTCTATATTTTTGTATATTAACAACATTAAAATATTTAATATTTTAGTGACATTATCTTAAAGGTACCCTTTGAAGTGTAGGGAGATATTTAAAACTTTTAATCTGTAGCCAGTTTGGTCATAAAGACACTTCAGATTCCCCTTGATGAATAATGCTTATTGTGGTTCATTTGACATTAAATCTGAATCCTTACATTTTCATTAAAGAAATTGAAAACAGCATGCAAGATCTGGTGCTGTACAGTCTTGTGAAAAGCCTAAGGGGTATAAAAGCTATGATACAGAGAGCAGTTTTAAAGTGAGGAAAACATTTCAGATTTACAAAAAAATATAGATCAATATTTTTACCCTCAGCAATACCAACAAGGTTCCAATAGGAAAATTTTAAAAATCTGAACTGAGAAAGATTCCTTTTGTGAACAAAAGTTTTTTGGAAACAACACTGAAAGCAAAACCAGAAAAGATAATGAATTCTTTAAACTCTCTATTCCATTTGTTTTTATTTATTACTGAAAAAGAGACTTAGCAGACCTTGGTAGCACTTAATTGTTGAAGTAACAACTAAAATTCTTTCATTTCTTAGCCCTCACTCTAGTGATGCAACACAGAATTCTGTTTTTCTTGTTTTCTCAATTCAGTGTTCATTACTGTATGTGTTGGTATGGATTTTAGTTTAATCTTGATCAACTCTTAGTTCCTGTAAATGCAAATGTTTTATTTGGACATCATCAGTGTGTCTTACTGTGATTCCTTGAAGAATCTGCAGATAGGTGGCAACAATTTTATAAGTTTGTATTTTGCCTAATGCTTTATGAGGGCTTTCTGAAAAAGAGGAAATTTGTGTTAGAATCAGTCAAGATACTCACTAATTCCCTGTAGGGCTCCTCCTAGCAACTGGGCATCCATTATAGGGTTAAAATTTGGAGCAGGAAGAATTGTTCCTTGTGTCTACAAAAGAAAAAAAGCAGGCTTTAATTGAGGTGTTTATATTTTTAACATGATATACCTTATTCTGCTGCAAACCTGTAATCATAACTTTAAATTTTCTTTGCTCCATGAGGAGCAGGATGTGGAGTTTTTAATTTATGAAACAGAACTTGCAGTTGACCATAGGAAGACAGACCATATTGAAGGAAGTTGCCCCTAGCATGAGTTGGGCCTGAATAGGAAAAAAATGGTGAGGATTTGCCTTAAAATGTAAATCACTTTGCCAACCTATTTAAAAAATATTTTATGTTTCAAATTTAATCCATGGTATCCCTGACAGTCTTCAATATTTATTCCTCATGGTATTTCTAATTTGAAAGGACTAATGAGAAAATGATGAATGAGATCCATAGGTTGCTTACCAACCTGGTGATTTATTAAAGCAGTGATGTTACTGCCAAGTGAGATAGTTTTGAGATTGCCGTGTAGAAGACAATGCAATTTTTCTAGTTGCTTTGTGACTGATTAAATTATTGTCAGCTCGTTCTCAGTGATACTTTATTTCATGTATTTTTTCTTGTTCTAAGAAATTTGTGAAGAATAAAAAGAACTAAATTTAATAGAATCACAGACCAATACAAACTGAAGAAAATAACTGAGGTTGGCAGATACTTAGCTCTGTCTTCTGGTTAACCACTTTAGTTCACCTGAGAATACTGTCTGCTTTATCTGACATTCCAAATATAAAGATTCTTTTATGATGATTCTTGAACCCAGTCAGTACATCAGATTAAAATGACACCATTAACTTCATATTTACATTTCAAAGAAATATGGGATATATTTTATAAGTATGAATGGCGTATTGTTACACATGCTTCCTAGAATCAGGGCTTACATGAATTATGCTAATTAATTAATTTTCTTGCTTTACATATACTTGAAAATCTTTTGCACATTGTGCCTTCACATATGATGGCATACGCAGACGTTTTGTGCATGGCCACTAATCACTCTTGCCTGGCTTGAAATCTAAGCAGAGGAATTAAAAAGCACCAAAGAAAGATTGTGTATTTTAGCTGAGAAGGAAGACACCATTTTTTGATACATTTGATCGCTACTTTAAACCCACCAAGCGAAGGTAGGAACAGGGTGGGGCAAGGTAGGGTTTGACTACTAATTAACAAATAATTATGTAATTTGTAACCAATGAATGCTATGTTTCTGTTTGGTGAAATCTGTTAGCTCTGTGAAGGTCTGATGATCAGGCAGTCGTCTTTTGCGGGTTACCATTTAGCTCATTCCCTTGTGCAAACTAGAATTAAAAAATTCACTCAGTGTGTGAATTGGTGTTTGCACACCAGGAAGTGAGCCTGCATTTGGGACACATCACTTCTGCCCTCTGGCAACAAGATGCTACATAGCAGGTAAGAAAGAAAACCTTGCGTCTAAAGTAATGTAAAAATTGAGGAGGTTTGCTTTTCTGAGAAAATGATCACTCTAATGCTCTTTGGTGTATCTAGGGAGAAGGAAAGGTGGTATAGTTTATAGCTGTTGAGCAAGACTTAGAGTAATCTCCTGTACTGAGACATGAACTTGAACATTGGGGCAGGCGTTTTGTTTTGCAAAGGTTTGTTACAATCTTGTCCTACTTTGGAAGCATCTGTGCTTACAATGTTTTTTGCTCGAAATAACTCAAATAGTTAAGGAAATATATCGAAACAGTGTTGTAGTAGGAAAGCTGGGGTTCTGCTTTGAGAACCTAGGGCCCAAGGTGTAAAATCATGTTTCCTTAAAAATTATACAGGCTTGCCCTGCCTAAATATGCCTAGGAAATGTCTAGTTAGCAGCAATGTTCATCACTGCAGAAACTGAGGGAGCAGAGAAGTAGAGGCATTTCTGAATGCCACTACTGAATGAAACTTCAACAGATTGGATTTTGATCAGGGAACAGGCAGCTACATATGACTAGATTGTTCCTTCCTGTTATTTTTGGCTAGAGAATATCTACTGCCCTGTTTTGAAGCAAGGCATTTTTTAGGCTTGGTTGAACATCTGAGTCTAGTTACATGTACTCCTCTCTCACTTCATTCATTCCCACTGAAGTCAGCTGTGATTGACCCCTGTAACTGAAGAAAGCTCAGTGGAGCTGAGCAGGAGCAGTGTGCCCGTGGAGCTCAGGGAAAAAGGCAGCCTGTGGCCAATCACAGCTGGTGCAAAGAAAGCTTATTTTAGCTCAGCACAAAGCAGACTGAGTGTAGCTATCAACATTTGAGAGGATGAACTGGTGGTATGAATGTTTACGTATGACTTCACTAAAAGAGTGTGAATGTCTTCTTGACTTGGCCAGATGAGCATGAGGGGAGTGGATACCTGTCTAAGCCCAACATAGAGTATAAATACTAAAAAGGTAGCAAAATAATTTGGAAATAATTTAAGTCAGCTCAAGCTTAAACCCATAAATTCCTTACCCACCTGTGATGGCCAGCAGTGCAGCAGAGAGCATGTCATGAAAGGCAGTAATGCAGATCTCATCTGTATTACATCTGTGTTATGTTTTCAGTACATTTTGTATTACTCTGCTAGGAAAACCTTGTGTAAAATCACTTAACTAGCTTATACATTACAGCCTCTATGGGTGAAATATCTGAAAGAACCTAGTGAGAGAGTACTGGACTCTGACATCAGGATGACCAGTTTTGCGTCTATGGCCAATTCTGTTTTACTTCTGCAACATCATTTGCTTCCATAAGCTCTGGAGAGCATAGGAAAATTACCAGTATGATCTCATGATTTTTCTTCTGCGTGCCTTAAGATGGTTCACTGCAGGGATGAGTAGAAATTGCTCTTCATGGCAAAGTTAAATGTACAGAAGTGAAAATTGCATTGTGGTTGTCTTGGTGATGTCAGAAGAAGTTTATGTTCACTGAATATCATTTCTCTAAATACAATGCTCTCCAACCCATCCACACCAGTAAAACAAATTGTGACAAAGTGACAGAAATATTTTTGTAAGTGGAGAAGAGCAGGGGCATTTTTGCACTGTTTAATATTCTTATTGTGACAGATTTTTCCTAATTTCACAGATAGCATCAATGAAAGTATTTTTGATTTCAGGGAGCTTTTGGTTCCTACCCTTAATGAGCAAAGACTGGGGTGGGTGGCCTACAAACTCGCTATTCAATCTAACAATTCAATAATTTTTTCCAAATAAAGAAATTAACAGGAATTTCTCCAATAAAAATTTCAAAATAAGTCAACATTATCAAACAGCCATTAGTCTCAGTAGTGTGGGATTGAGTGAAAAAGGAACTTGTGTTATGCTCTGAGTGTCAACTTGTTCTGTGAACACTGCAGATAAAAACAATTGGGTTTTTTTCCCTGAATTTTTTTGTCTCAGTTTCACTATGTACTTGCAGTTCATTTCCTCTCCTTGTTCCTCTAGGAACAAGCCATGGGGTCCTTTCTGAGACAACCACTGGCTAAGTAAAATATGACTCAGTCCCATGACTGAGTCCAAAGTCTGGATGTGTTATTTGGCTAATGCTAGGCCAATGGAATAAATGACTATTGAGTTACAACTGCTTTATTTTTAAACTGATAATAGAATTTAGTTCCCTCACCAAACAGTGTTTCCACAAAACTTCAGAAGATATTGCATTCCTCTACCAATATGATTAAAATTCATTATAAAGTTCAAAGTTAGAGCTAGGAACAGGTGGATTGATGAATATACACGAATAGAGCCAAACTTTCTGAAGAAGGGGGAAATGTCTATAGTTACTGAAAAGATGTAAAGAATTGTACAATTTAATTTTGATATCTGGCTTCTAGCATCCCTCACAACATAGTCATCATTTTGCTGGAGCTCTCATTGCAAGATTAGTATTCAGTGCGACAGACTTTTCTGCATTACAAAGAATGTCTTCAAAAAGCATCAGAGAAAAGTAATTTCCAAGAGCAATTTAGCCTTTTTGTGGGTTAGTGTAGACAAATTGCTGTATGTGAACATAGAAGAATGGTTTTCATGCTGTCTTTCCTCTGCAGCATCCTGGTGAAGGGGATATCTGTTTTTCAGAAGGAAAAAATCAAAAATATTTTGCTTTTTTTTCTCACTGAAGTGTCAAAGTATAAGCAAGTAAATCTCCAAAGGTAATTTAGTAATTTTTTATATTAAGATATTTAATCTTATCTCTGATCTCAGGATACCCTCATGTTCAAAACCACAGATCTGTCTACTTATAGAGTGTCTCTGTACTCTATAAGTATCTCTGGTTTTGTACATATTCTTTTAACTCTCCTGTAAGAAACTGATTCCAAATTAAGCTGAGCAGACAGAACAGGTTGGTGTAATGGTGGTGGAATGAATCAAACAATGAAAAAGATTGGAAAGGGTCTGAAAAATTTATAATGGTTCTGGAAAATGATACTTGGAATTTACCTTCTTTGCAAAAGCAAGAATGGTCAGTAAAAGCTGTTACTAATTCATAAGCAGTTCAACAAAAGTATCAGTAAAAGGTGAGGCTGCTTTTATCAAGTTATGATGCACAAACTTGAGGCAATTCAGTCTTGTGATGGAAAGGAATTCTGAAGTATGAACAACCTTCTAATAATATTTGTTCAGTAAGTCATTCTGCTGATAACAAATCAAGTCAGACTCCTTTGTCTGAATATTTCCCATAGGGAATGTCTACTAAAATAAAATGTTTTCTTTATTAGCTAACCACATGCTATGAGCTAGCTATACTTTTCCAAAGATATCATTTGAGTGCAACTTTATTAAATAAAAATTCCATGAGTATTTGTTGTGAGTTTATTGTATGTGTTTCATTTAATTTCAATAATATATGATACAGTAACTGGAAGGGATACTTCTAAACTTGGAAAATTCATTCTCCAAAACCTTCCATCTCTCTGTGTATGTATTTTAGAGAGGTCACAGATGTCATCTTCTCTAATTTCTGGTAGTTTTACCTATGGCATTTATTATAGGGTATTTTTTGTTTTGTGGTATTTTTCATATGTAATCTCTGATAAGGATGATGCCTTGAATTGCTGAATCTGGCAGGGCAGTTGCTGTTAACAGTTTGTACATCTCATTCTTGATCTTGAAGGACTCCATCCTGATTGCTCACAGATAATGTGTGTAATTACTGATATGGGCAGCATAAAATATAAAGAAGATCATCTTAAAGAAAAAAAGCACATTTTGAAAGCAATGATGCTGATTTTTTTTTTGTTTGTTTTTCTTATGCTTCTGAATTAATGATATATTCAATGTTCTGGAATTTCTTGAAAAATATCCCGAAGTCCAAAGTGTACTTAGAGGACTTTTTTGCAATCTAGAGTAGTGTTTAAGAAGAGTAGAGAAGAAATGCGTGCTACGGTCTCACCACTCAGTCCTGTATAAGCCCTGTTTTATTGATTGAGGCTTGCTGGAGTGATTTTTTTCTGTTATTCTGTTGCTGAGTCTCTTCAAAGAAAACTGCCAGTGCTCCATGACCAAATTGCTCTTGAAATACCAGCAGCATTTAGGGGAGAATGTTTATGTGCAGCTCTGTCCCCATGTCCCCATTCTGTCTGGATGCCTCAGAAGGGAAGTCTGTTCCTAGGATCCAGTGATCTAGTTCATAAGAATACCTAATTTCTCTCCCTTTCCATTCCATAACACATGGAAATTGGAATAAATAGTAAAAATTCACCTAACCTGGGAATCCATCCCAATACTTTTCAGAGAAAGCCTGGAGTCAAATTTCCTGTCTTTCCTGGGGCTGATATGCTCCCCATTTGTCTGCAGTTGCTTCTCTGCTCTCGTGTCTCTGTGATTATGAAAAAACAAAGTGTTTAGCAGTGTGCCTTTTATGTTTAGGAGAAGAGGGGATAAAGAGTTTGCATTAAAACCATTTATTCTGGGGTATTTTGATGTAATTCAGTGTATAATAATTAGAAACTTGTGTCCCTTCTGCTCAAGTAGTTTATTAGGCTAATATGTAATAGTTACATTATATTAAGCCTTATACCATTGCAAACATCTGCCTGTTAAAAATTGTCTCATCTGTTAGATTTTCTTTATAATGCTATCAAAATACTGAATTATTGCAAATATAATAATTACCAATTGTAACGAATTTAAATAATTTCTTCTCTAAGTTATTTTATAAGGTACTACCATTAATATCAGGATAACATATTATATGCAGATACAATGTCATTATTTAAACATAATTGGTTGCAATAAATCAGTAGAAGAAAAGGAACTGTGTTCCTTGTCTTCTACAACAGACACAAATCTACTACCTTTTTAAGGTATAGTATTCTTTCTGTCTTCCTTGAATTAGCAGGAATAGATTACAAAATCTAACTGTAATTAAAAGAGAAAAAAAAAGAAACTAAGAAGAAAATATCTTTTAAGGTCTTAACTGTCTAGTAAAGGATGCAAGATTCCAAATTGCAGAAAACCAAACATATTACTAATCATGATTCAATAGCAATCACTTTAGAAAAGCAAATATGTGCGATATAATTTTATCAGAATAAATACTTTACTGTAAAGATTGGAATAATTAGTCAATTATACTTAAAATAAGAAAGGGAAAATATTTATCCTTTAGAAGAGTCCATATTGATTTGTAAGTTGGGAGTGTACATGTAAGAGGCCTTTGGAAGGAATGAATCATTATTCATACCAATAATAATTGAAACAAAATCCTTAGAGAACATGATGATCAGTATAACAGGTACAGAGAAAAATTTTGTATTTTGTTGTCAAGATATAGTAACTCCACCAGTTTCCAGAATGGAGATTTAAAATTTCATTGAAACATTTTTTTCCTCAAAGAGTGCTAGTGAAACCATTTAAAATATTGTGCAGCTTTTTGATGGGGAAAAAATCACTGATAACTGTTCTTGTCTTGTGGCTCTTATAGAGGTAGCATTTTTTTACTTGAAAATATTTTTCATGCTATGAACAAACCAAATTTTTATAAATGATAAAGCTATTTAGTTACTTTATGCTGTTATGATGGTCTTGTCAAATTATAACCCCCTCAAAATAGTGCCAGAAATAGGCATCTTCTGAAAGATTCACTTTTTTATCTTTTATACGGTTGGGTAGTAGCAGCTTAGTGTGAGCATGGAAAATCTGCCTTAAAGGTCCTCACAAGGAGGCTTGCATTGCTTTTTCTTGAAAGGTCTAGAATTATGAGACAGGAACTGATAATTCTTTTTATTTTAGCCTTTGTTTCAGACACTGCAGATATATATCTAAGTAACACCAAGATTAGACCCAAATCACAGATAATTTATCTTTGCCTAAGATTAATTTCTACCAGTGAAGGGAAATGGATACCAACACATGATGACAACTCAAGAGGAATGAAACATTTTGGAAGATTTCAGAGAATAAATAATTATACTCACGTAATCTCCACAATACATTTTGTTACAAGTCTTCAAGTTCTGTTGAGATGGAATAGTAGCTTCCCTAGACTAAAAGCAAGGGTAATTAAATCTTGTTCTGTTTTGGAGACTTGTGAGAAGCCATCCAATCAAACTGATATGAAGTACATTAGGCTCCAAAGTAACAGTGAAGCAGAACCTTGGTACCTTGTGTCCTTGGGCTTTATAGATACACTGTGTGCTGAGTCATTAACCATGCATTGAATAAGTGTGATTATAATGTAAGTAAACAGAGACATTAGCCCAACACCCTCTGTTCTGCTGTGTTGATTTTAGGAATCAGAATTCAGCTAGTCACAGGAAGAAACAGTCACCTACCAAAAGTGCTCGTGTTAATCATTTACTTTACAGATTGGATCTGGTCTAGTTCATTTTTTCATCCTTGTCCTGAAATTGCTCAGCTCATCACTTGCCCTGGTATCTATTTCTAGCTGGCATGTACAGGAAGATGCTTTGTAGTCCTTATATGTCACCCAGAGTAATCAGGTAGCCTTAGTGGAACTCTGTAAATGAGGATCTTTTCATGCAAGTTATAACTTGCAAAATCCTGCAAAGAGCTGATCAAAAATCCTGTACTGTTGCTCTCTCCAAGGACTTATACAGAATCCAAACTATCCAACTGACAGTAAACTCATTTTTCATAGCTAATACCATATCTTTCTGCTTATGATAACTAGTATTGTAATAAACCATTGATAAAACATGAAGTTTTCTCACACACACAAAAAAGGTAGACAAAATAGAGGAATATAAAAAGAGAGGTGCAGAATCAGTCTGTATATCCTCTCCTGCAACTTGAATGGAAGGTATAGACTACTGTTATCCTGATTGAGTCCATTTTAGAGGGGTAATGTTTTCCGGTAGTTGTACAGTGACAGTAGCTCAGAATTAAATCATCCCAAATTTTCTTACTTTTCTTAATGTGTCCATCACAGACTTTGGAGCACTTCTTAAAACATGCATGGAGTTTTTTTCTTTATAATTTAGGAAGACTTTGGAAAGAATAAAAAAAATACTTTTTTTTTTTTTGTAGCTGTAATACCTTAGCAGCTCTTCTAATTATTTAAAGCTATCTCTGGACTTGTATAAACACAGCAGTATTGATTTGGGTATAAGCTTTTTCATGTCAGCCCATGTTATGGGTAACGGCTACAGGTGCATCCTTAGAAACTGTTGGAAGATTTTCCCAAAGAAACATGTAAAACATAGGCCTTACAGTGGCATGCCTTTACTTTCTCCTTTTTTTTTTTTTTTTTTTTTTCCTGGGGCTCTGGTAGGTATTTTACTTTATTGTAATTGTACCAAGTACATACTTTATCTCTATATCTTGAGTGCTCTTTGAGGGTGGCTGGGGAATGCAGTTCCACTGTACAGGTAAGAAAAATTATCCATAAAGAATCTGGTCTGGCTGGTTAGAGGTGCTGAAGATGGTATTTAGAGTAGGATTCAGTCTCCTGATGATACATATTTTAAAGCAGTGATAAGAGTAAAAGACTATTTTAAGCCTATATTTTTTACAGAGTCTTAATTTTGTGTCTATTTTTTTTGCTGTGATTAGAATGTAATACAATTAATCTTCAGTACAACAGAAAACAAATTGTATTTACAGGATTATGTTTTTGTCTGCATGTGCCCAAATCTTTAAGAACAATAGGGTGTAAATAAATAGTTGAAGCCTTTTGTTGTATGAAACATTCATAGCTGACATATAATGTGATGAAAGCCCTTAATTGTTTACTGAACTAGATTGTGTTTTTAATGAACCTTTCAGTAAAAAGCTGTGAGAGAGTCTAGAGAAAACAGGAGAAAGGTTTCAACCTCCTTATCCCTTTGAATGTCCTTTGGCTGTGCTTTCCTGCTGTCTCTCCCCCAAGGTGAGAGGCAGGGCTTACCAACAAGGAAATGAATAATGTGTTTGTCCATGTAATCCTCAGCAAAATGGATCCAGTGTTTAGAGTGAGCTGCACCTTCACATTTTCTTCAAGACTCAGTAGGTCAGAGGTGTGAGTTATTTCTAGAGGAGGAGCTTATCCTGTTTTAGGGGAAAGCCAAAGAAGCTGTGTTCCCAGGGGTTTTGGCCATCTCACTTTTGGGAAAAAAAAAGACTACTTGGAAATACTGCAGAAGAGAGTAGCAATAATTACTTATGTGGAAAGATAGGAAACACTTGGTTTTTTAAACTGAAGAACAGTGCAGGAAACCTTAAAAGTTGGAAAAAATAAAAGATCTTGCAAGGGGAAGGGGAAAAAAAAGTCTTGAGTTCACAATGAACTGGACAGATTAAGGCCTATTTTTCTGTATCACCTCTATTTAATCTTTGCAATTCTCTCACAGTTACCAGGTGAGATTTTCATTACTGTTCTGGGTACTTCCTTGCTTTCCTTTCTCTTTTTGATGTTTCTATTATTAGTTCATTTTATCCTAATTTTGTTATGTGTTCTTCTTTTTTGGACAGTCTTAATTATTTTCTGTTGAATCAAATAGGGGCTGGTTCCTCTTCTTCAGGTCCCTACAACCAATGGAATTTCTCACGTGTGCCAAAGGTTCTTCCTCAAACTTCCCCTGTCCTGCTCATTGATATACTTAAGCTTAAACATTCCAACTGACCTATTTCCATGTTGTTTTAGTGGAAACCTTGAACAAAATAATGAAATATAATAAATTCTTTAGGGATCCATCTAAAAGTGATTATGTATTTAAAGTGAAAAGTAAATATTATTAAATATGAAATTATTCTATTTGTTTTCCCTGAAAATTAGCTTACAGTGTATCAGTTGGATATAAATTAAAATCCACATTATTGGTATAATGATCTTCAGGTATTGCTCTGGAGTAGTCAAATAATTGAAATGTTTGTTCAGTATTACTGCAGCTGCAAACAGTAAAATATGGGACTTCATGCTGCTGAGCATATAGTTTCTGTGGTGGAAAGAAAATCTGGATATAACTGGAGCTGGTGTAATTTCTAGCTCTCACCAGAGCACAGAATGCATACCTCGTACAGAGGTCAAGAAGAAGGGGTGGGAAGGTAATCTCTAGCTCTAGTGTAGCAGTAACAGCCTTGGGCATTTGAAAAATGTCTCGGGGAGCTTGTGTAGAATGTGTGGAGCGTGTTATTCACCATGATTAAATGAGTGTTTGATGTCAAATACATTAATGCAGTGAATCCCTGTAGGACCTATGACTCAAATTTTACCTTTTGCAACTCCCAAGCCTTTATTTATATTACTAAAAGAACTTGGACGCTTATCTACCTGCCAATTCCCCTTAGGGTTGCAAGGGCCGAGTTCTGCCTTCTTTCTCAAAAGAGCTCTGAGCATGATATGTGTACACAGGAGGCACTTTGAGATACTGTGAGGGCTGTGGTGCTGCCAGTGCTGTGCCTTGGGAAGGTGACTGCCAGTTCCCATTTGGAATATAGCCTTCAGCAGAAGGCTGACCACATGAGGTGATACAGACCTCATGTAATATTGCATGATATTGCAGAAAAGGGTTTGAACAAGAGAGTGGGTAATGAGAGGTAGTAGTGGGTATAGCTTTATAGGAACAGCAGAAGCACAATTACTTTGTGACTGTAAAATTCTGGTTTCACCATCGTGTCAATATAATTTAGAATTGTGGTTTCTGGGTTTATCTGGTTTCTGTGGTTTTCGTGAGTGGAAAAAACTAAAAAAAACCTTGGGCCTACAGACTGCTTCTTAGTCCTGAATGTCACTGAATGGGATACTGGGGAATTATGCTAAGCTTGCACTGATATTTTTGACTTTCTGGAATTAAATATATTCACCATAAAAAGGAAGTACTTGTATACCTAAGACAGATTTCTGCTGACATAGAAAAACTGGCTGTAGTCCAGCACTATATGAGCTATTTCTTTAGCAACTTTTTTAATGAAGGTTAGCTGCTCTTAGGTTGGTTGGGCAGGAGATTTATGTTTTGATTTTGGAGAGAATTATTTTTACCTGAGACAAATGTAAAATTATAGAATATACAGAATATATCTATGATGTATTCAGGAAGTTACATAGTGAGTTAGTAGAAATATGGGTGAGTGGAAATGATTCTTCCTAGGAGTTTTTTCTTATGCTTAAGCAGAATTGTTCTGAATACTATTTAAAATTGTCTGTTTATCATAGTGTTCAAAAATGCCCTGTTTATTAAATTTACAGAATTAACTTTTGCTAGAGAACCATAGCAGAAGAAAAAGGCATTCCTTTGAGAAAAGATTTACAAAAAGGAAAAAAATAATAAGAAAATTCAATAAACTGCATAATTATCCCAACCTCAAGGTTTCTAAAGCTGCTGCCTGAAAAAAATATTACTGCAAAATGCAAGTGAAACAGATGCCAGATTTCTTCAATACTAATTTGTGTAGATGGCAGCAGTGTTTCATAGCTTTCTTAATACAATGGTGTTCCAGTTTAGATTTAATACGGTTTTATGAAAATACAAGGATGAACTTTTGGTTCTGGTTAACAGAGTATTTTATTACTAGCTTTATTAATTTCATGGCATATGAATTGTAGACATGTTACTTATCCAATAACAGTTTCAAAATAAATCAGATGATTACATATATAAATTACTGAAAGCACTTAAAGGATCTGATGTTTTTATGAAGAGCATTTAAGAATTACTTTAGATATACAATGAAATACTCACTGTGTTCCCATAGCATATTACTTTTTAAATGAAATGTATACAAATAAAATATAAATATTATAAATTTGGGACATTTGTTAAGCCCATAGATGTCTGGAAGATGTTCCTCTAACTTTCTACATTAATCCTGATTTAAATGTTGTTAAGTTTTATCACATGTTGGGAATTATGCCAAAATCAGGCTATACAACAAATTAGTGATTATAGACCACTGATTTACAAGGACACTTGTAGAAATCATAATGAATGTATGATTTCTTGTATACTGTCATATTAAAGCATGTTTCCATTATGCAAGCACTTGATCTTGCAGATGA